CAGCCTGGGGCCTTGGAGATGACCCTGTCCCTGGTGCCCTGGGCTCTCTAGACCCTAGGGAGAGGCAGCAGTCCCAGCCCTGGTCTCTGAGGTCGGTCAGCTCGGGAGGGAGGAGTGGGCCCGGGCTCTGCCACTCACTGGCCCAGGATCTCCACGCTCAGGCTCCCGGGAGGGGTGTGGCACTCTTCCAAGGCCACCGTGGTCCTGTTCCCCGTCTGCTCCAGCCGCACCCCCATGCGAATGTTCTTGATGACTTTGAGCCGCAGGATCCTGGAGGGACGGCGTGTGGGACAGGCTCTAACCCGGCCCGAGGTCGAGGCAGGACGTCACAGCCGGCCCCACGGACTCAGATTGAAAATCAGGAGAGCTCCTTAAAACAGGGACAACCGGGGGACCTGGCGGTACCCTCACGGGGGGCCCACACCTGGAGCTGAGGGTGGCCTTGGGGTGGGCCTCAGGCTCCCCTGCTGAGGACAGCCCCCACCAGGATGATGGCCACTCAGCACGTTGACGGCACCACCCGACAAGGGGAAGGAAGATATTTTACAAGGAAAAGTGGGGGTGGGCGTGTAGCTGAAGGGCATCGATGAGTTTTCCCGCTTCCTGGGCAAACAGTGGTCCACGGGCTGCTCTGTGGCATTTCTGAGTTTTGCAGATGAACACTCAGTACCGCTTAGTGCAGGGAGCCCCGTGCCCATTTCACAGATGAGGAAACCGAGGCCAGGGAGCAGACCTGTCCGGTCAGTTGCCCAGCCCAGGAGTGCCAGCCTCCAAGTGAGCGCGTATTAGACCCTCCTCAGGCCACGCTGCTAGGGCCCTGAGCTGCCCAGGTGCCCAGAGTGGGTGTGTGTCCCCCAGCATGGAGTCAGAAGGCTGGATGATTCGTTGTGTGATCCAGGCAAGTCCCTTTCCCACTCTGTGCTTCATTTTTCCCACCAGCAAAATGGCTTTCAAACGTGCACAGATAGAAAGGACTATCAGGGTCCTTGTGGTGACACGTGGCCCATGGCTTTGGTTGGCGTCCTGGCAGTGCAGGTCTGGGTGGTGAGGAAGCCCACGTGTACTTACCCCTGGAGCGAGAGGTACAGTTTGCAGCGCAGCGTGACCTGCAGCAGGCTGTCACTTAGGATTTGCAGGGTGACCTCGGGTCCTCTGGCATCTTCTATGACCAACCTGGAGAGGCACAGGGTGCTGGTGAGGCTTGTGGGTGTGTGTATCTGAATGGGTGGGAACAGGGGCAGACCCCAAGAGAAGCTGGGGCGACAAGCCCTTCCGGTGACCCCAGCCTGGCTGAGAAACACGGGGCTCTAATCACAGTCTCCAAGCCCTGAAGACGGGACAAGCCTCTTCCCTTGTCTGGGCCTCAGTGTCCACCTCTGTGAAATGGGGGGAGACGTGGAGGGGCCGTCTTGTCATGTTTCACCTGTCTGAACTCAAATATGGGCCTCTGGGGTTGGGGACAAGGCTTGGGGTAGAGCATTTGCCTGGCATGTGCAAGGCCCAGGGTTGGGTCCCCAGCCTCGATAAAACAAAACAAACAGCCACACCAAATCGGAAAACAAGACCACAAAGGCAGGCTCTGGAAAAGAAGAGCAAAGAGAGTCTGGCAGCTGCAAGTTCAAACGGGAGGAAACCCTGGCCTCCAGCAGGGAACTTTCTGGAAGGTTCCAGAATGCCTTGGAATCCGTGCAGCTTTCCTGCTGCTCTCCGAAGCCACGCCCTGGTGGGGCGGGCAGGAGAGGCACTGTGAATGCACAGGCCAGGGTGACCGCAGCCGACCAGGGCCTTGGCCAGGCTGGGGCCCTGTGGGCCACACCTCCTCCCGCCAGCAGTGCCCTGGCCTTTCACCTCACCCCACCCCCGAAAACGTCCTCTGAGTCGTCTGCTGTCTTAGGGTTTGGCCTGCTGTCCGAGGCGCTCATGCTGGGGACCGATGTGGGGGGAGCCCTGCCCTGCGCGCAGGCACTTGTCTCACGGGTCCCCATGTCCGTCCTTAATTCTCTGCCTCATTTGTTTTCAGAGCCCAGCAAGGGACATAGTGAGTGGTGGGGCGGCTGGGGACAGACTTGGGGCCATGGACCTTACCACCCGTGGTTATCCTGGAGGGGCACAGGGTGGCCCAGAGTTCTGCTTTAAGGAGAATCAGTGTCAGGGCTGAATTACGTCCCTGGCTCCCAAATTCATATGTTGAAGTCCTAATCCCTAGAGCCTCAGAATGTGACCTTATTGGGAAACAAAGTCATTGCAGACGTGATCCGTCATCCCAGGCTGTCCTGGGGTCTTATAGGCCCCTAATCCACATGACGACGTGTCCTGGGGTAGGGGGATTCTGGACACACAGACGGCATCCCCGGTGCGCAGAGCAGGGACGGGTGGAGTTCCTACACCCAGCACCAGAGGGCGCCCTAGGTGACAGCGGCTGAGGAGGTCTGGGTCACAGCCAGCCCACAGGGGCGGTGACCCCACTGTACCTGGGCCTCATTTCTAGGCAGACAGTGAGGCTGTTTAGGCGACTCAGCTTGGGGCACTTTGACAAACAGACACAATTGGAAAAGCCAGATTTTTAGAAAATCCTCTATTTTTTCCCCTTTTCTCTTGGCGGGGTGGGTCTGAGCCACGGCCTCGTGCGGGCCAGACGCGTGCCCTGAGCCACACTCCTGGCCCAGAGAGTCTCGACTTCTAGATGGGGTCAATTTATTTAAAATGTCTTTCAAGACACCACACAGGTTTGTAGAGAAAGGGGACAGGGCGGCCGCCCTGCTGGGCTCAGAGCCTGGCTCAGACCCCACTCCTGCCTTCCCAGGGGGTTTCAGTGGCTTGGAGGGACAGAAGGTCACCCTTGCCTTGTGCTCGGGGCTGCAGAGGCCACAGAGACACCCGGCTGCCCACCTTGTCTCCGCTGGATAGGCGAGAACGGGACGCAGGCCTGTCCCCGGGGCAGGAAAGGCCACAGCAGCCTCAGGCCACTCACCCGCCGGCCTGGAGCAGGTCCGACAGCAGAGGGAGGCTCTTCCCCGAGAGCAGGTCCCCGACCAGCGACAGGTCCAGGCCGCTGCTCTTCTTGGACAGGCTTTTGCTGACAAAGGGCAGGTGGTCCAGGACAGTCGCGCCTTCCCCAGGGGTCCCCGTCACAGGCACCCTGACTACGCGGCTCAGGATCTGCTGCTCTGCAAACAGGTCTGAAATGTCTGTCGACACGGCCTCCTCAGCCTGGGCCTTCCCCCCACTCGTTCACCAGTGCCCCCCCGTGTCACCCAGGCTGCGTCTGAAAGCCTGGGCCCCAGCCATCCTCCTGCCTCTGCCTCCCCAGGAGCCGGGACTCCAGGTGCGTCCCCACTGCTGGTGGCTGACAGGCCCTTATGAGGCACTTCTCAGCAGGGCTCTGGGGACAGCAGCACCCTGGTTCCGACCCCGTGGAGTTTACACTCTAGTCAGGGAGATGACAACATCCCAGCGCTCAGAGAAGTGAGCAAAGTAATTTTTAGCATAAGTGCTACAGACTAAAAGGGAGCGGATGAAGCCTGACAGGCTGAGGGCCTGTTTGGGGCAGAGGGATTAGGAAGGGCCTCGCTGAGGAGGTGACCTTTGAACCGAGGCCTGAAGGAGGTGGGGAGCCCACTGTTGACCATCTGGGGAAGAACGACATAGGCAACGGTGTGTGCAAAGGCCCTGCGGTGGTTATGAGCCTGGTGGGTTTGTGAAATAGAAAGATGGCGAGGCTGGAGGGGTGGGGGGGCACAAGTGGCTCACAGCCAACGGGGAGGGAGGCACACAGAGGGACAGGGCGACAGGTGCAATGTTACACTTGGATGGGGCCATAGAAGAGGCTCCACCAAGGGACTGGGAGCCCAAAGGAGGGAGAGTCCTGCTGGGAGGATCAGGAGGGATTTCCAGAGGAGGCGCAGGAAGAGCTTTGCCTTCTCAGAGGGTCAGAGCTCCCCAGTGAGGAGCGGGCACCCGTTTTGGCAGAAGGGCTGCATAAGAAAGGAAGGAGACGGAGGTCATGGAGAGGAGGGAGAGCTGGGAGATGCGGGACTTTGACTGCGAGGACCAGGAGCTTAGAAATGCTTTCGAAAAGCCAGGCGCCGGGCGCACACCTGTAATCCCAGCGGCTCAGGAGGCTGAGGCCGGAGGATCAGAGTTCAAAGCAGCCTCAGAAAAAGCAAGGCACTAAGCCACTCAGTGAGCCCCTGGCTCTCAGTAAAGTACAAACTAGGGGTGGGGATGGGGCTCAGGGGTCGAGGGCCCCTGGGTTCAATCAGGTACCAAAAACAAACAAAAAATGCTCTTTAGGGCACTGGGGAGCCACACCAAGTGACAGAGCCGGAGAGAGACATGTCAGCCCCCGGGACCGCAGGTGAGTCCCGTGGCTGGTGGGGAGAAGCTGGGGGGGTGCGGGCCCCTCTCCTGACCCCCGCCTCCCGCCACGCACCCTCCACATTCACCTATCTCCAGCTGATTCTTGCTGATCCGCAGGTAGATCAGGCTGTGGGCCCTGCCCTGGGCGGGGGGCGGCAGTGCCCAGCACAGCAGGGACGCCCAGAGCAGCCGCATCCTCCTGTCGGACCTGTGGGCGCAGAGCGTGAGGACGTCCAGGTCCCAGCCGGGGACTGGCAGCCCTTTTCCCGGCTCTGCCTCCCCCACCCCGTCCTCCCAGCCCCCTGCCTACCCAGCTCCCACCCGCGGGTCCTGGAACACAGCCTGTGCCTCCCGCCACCATAGCTCTGGCCCGGGCACCCCCCAACTGCAGGCCCTTCCCCTCCTGCAGGCCGGCTTCAAAGTCCAGCTCTGCCATTCCCGTCTGTCTGGCCTGCCCAGGTCCCTTGACTCCTCTCTGCCTCAGTTTTCTCATCTGAAACATGGGGACGATCACAGGTTGTTGACGATGTGCAGAAGCACACAGTGAGCGCCCGCAGCTGCCAAAGTGGCGGCCCGTGGTGAGGGGTCCAAGGGCCCAGGGCTCCCTTCACAGCTGGATGCTTCTGGATTGTGAGGAAACCAGGGGTGGGGTCCTGATGGAGGTGCCCCGGAGGCTGATGGGGCAGGAGGAGGCACCGGGGCCTTGGAGCCAAGTAGCAGGGAAATCATTCAGGTTTGTGAATCAGCGTTTGTACCAGGGCCAACCAGCAGGACTCAGCCCGCCCCAGCTGGCCAAAAGGAGCAGCCGGGCCCCGGAGGCCGCAGGCAGGGCGTTCTGGGGGCAGGAGGACACCACCAGGAAGCCAAGCTCTGGAGCGACACGCAGCCCAGGGAATGCGGCATCTCCAGGCAGGTGTCGCGGTGAGCAGGGACCTTGAGGAGGCACACGGAGGGCCCCAGATGGCTGAGCCACTCCGGGGTGCCTGAGAGAGCTCCAGGACCCAGCCGGATGCTCCTTGGGGGACCTCGCTCAGCGTAGAGCTCTGCCAGTGTGTGCGTGGCCCGGGTTCAGTCTCCAGGACCCCAACAGACACAAGCAAACCCACAACATGGTGATGAAATTGGGTAGTAGAAATCAATATGCAAATCTTGGTTTGTGAAGTGTGTGGCTGTGGCATTGACTCTCCCTATTGGTTTCCAGGATGATTTTTTTGTGTGTGTGGTGCTGGGGATTGGACCCAGCGTCTCTCACATGCTGGGCAAGTGCTCTACCATTGAGCCACACCGCGACACCTGCAGCCCTTTTAAAAATGTTTATTTTGAGGCAGGCTCTTGCTAAGTTGCCGAGGCTGGGCTCGAACTTGCAATCCTCCTGCCTCAGCCTCCCAAGTCACTGGGATTGAAGGCATGTGCCACTGCACAGGCTTCCGGGCTGACCTTACACTCAGCCACTGTTCATTCTGCCAGCCAGCGTTGAGTGGGTCTCTGTCAGGCCCTTTTCTCTGTCAGTTCACCACTCCCTGGCCTTGGCCCTGTGCACCCCACGCCCAGCCCTCCCAGCTCTCCTCCGGAGGCGTCCACACCTGCCCTGACCTCTTGAGTCCTCACTGGGTGCCAAGAACTCTACAGGCCCCATCAAATCACTACGTCCTCATCAAGATGGGGTCACTGACGTCCAGACCTATTTTACAGATGAGGAAACTGAGGCTGAGAAAGGAGAAATGCCTTGCTCCTGGGGACAGAGTAAGAGGCAGAGCTGGGACTAAACCTGGCTCTCCTGGCACTAAGAAGCCATGCACCATTTCACCAGGTCTCAGCCAGTGTTGGGGAGACACCCGCGTTGGCCTCCTCCTCCTTACCTCTCCCAGGATCCAGGTCTCGGCCTCTGCCTCCAGCTTCCTGGACAACTTTTATAACTGAGCTCTGAAGTGGGGGTGGGCATGTGGACAGGAAGTCCAGCCCCTGGCCAGGCCCTGCCCTTCAGAGGAGCTGTTGAGGGGAGGGAGGGTCCTCCTGGCACTGGGTGACAAGGGGCTTCTTGCCAGAACTGATAGGACCCGGCATTGAGGACAGGGGCAGGCTCTGGGCCCCAGGGCCAGCAGCCCCCAGGAGGAAGTGGGCGGGCCGTGCGGTTTGGGACGTGGGCCACTTCCCTTTGGATCAACATCAGAGAAACAGGACCAGGGCTGCAGCCCTCCCAGGACAGAGTCATGGAACCCGAGGAGTGAGGGAGCGGGGTGCAGCAGGGATAGGAGAGCAGGTGGGGCGCGGAGGTGGGGCTGAGGGGCGCTGGTGACCAGCAGCGGGCATCCCCAAGCCTTTTCCGCGTCTGTTGTTCAAGCTACAGTTTTCACTCTGATTCCCAAGGACACGTCTCTGGGTTCAGTCTGCCTCTGATGTCCAGGGGCTGTGTGACTGTGGGCAGGCGACCTTCCTTCCGAGACCCCCTTTCCCTGCCGGGTAATGCACATAGCGAATCTACCTGTGTCCCCTGGGGACGGCGAGGTTCCTGGAGGGAGGTCACGAGGCTATCCCTACGGGGCCTGGCACATGGGAATGGTTAAAAAATGGCTTCACTCCCACTTTACAGATGAGGAAACTGAGACTTGTTCCAGGTCGTGCAGCATGTCTGAGGTCAAGCTGGGGTTTGTGACCGCGGATTTGGTGTCACTACACCTGACAGCCCCAGGACTCGGCCAGAGCCTCTGACGTGGGGACACTGGCGCCCCCTGCTGACCATCACGGCTGGTGGTGCAGTCCCCAAGGGCAGAGGTGTGTAGGCGGCTTGTAGGTGTCCCCTGGGATTAATTCCTTGTTCTTTCTCAACCCAGGGACGCAGCCAGTGCAGGTGTGGGACTCCTGGAGACACCGGGGACAGAGGGGCTGAGGTGGATGGCCACACGAGGCCCACGTTAGCCGGTTCTCTGGCTAACAGCAAAGGCAGTGGCTAAGCCTAGTGTGACTCAGCGCGTCTGCTGGATGGAATCTTGTTCTAGAATCTCAGAGGCCTAAAGTCACGGGCTTCTGGGTTGGAGGATGCTCTAAGAGTTGATGTGTCCCCTGATTCCTGTCGCCTGGGTCTCAACATCACCGTCAGGGGGCGTCTTGCCACCTGAGAAGGGCCCCCAGGGGACCTGCCCCCTCTGAGTCCCTGGGGAGTGTTCCCAGGATGCTCAGGGAAGCGCCTCCTTCAAATCTCACCGTAAAGAAAAGGGGAGGGAAGGATTCCTTGGAGCCCCAAAGGGTTCTCTGCTTCCCCAGTGTCTTCAGAGAGAGGCAGGTTTCCCGGGAGTCTCCTCCATGCGGAGAACCCCTGGGAAGGACGCAGAAGGTGCAGGGCCCCGCTGCTGATTCCCTCTGAACCTCAGTCTGTCGATGTGGAAGATGGGAAGGTGAACCCCAGGAGGCTGGAACCCAAGAGCCCTCGTTAATGGTGATACCAGTTATTACCGTCCAATGTCCTGCTGTGGGTGAGGCCTGGGCTGGCCCGCCCCACCTCGTCACCTGGGGTCTTGTCTGAGACAGGTCTCTGTGACGCAGGAGGACGTGCGAGTGTCACTTGGTGTTTGCTCTTTGCTCCGGCTGCTGAGACTCAGAAGTGGGGGCGTCCTCTCTCCCCAGGCCCAGGAAGGTGACGGGGCCTGGGAGTCCCCATCTGGGGACTCCTGCCTCGGGGTTCATGGGTGGCTGGTGTGTTCCTTGACCAGACAGAAAAACGGTCCCTCTCCTGGAGATGCCAGGGTCATTTATCCACCAGCCCCTAGCAAGTCCCAGAGGACGTGGGTGGTCAGACCCCGGGGTCCTTGGTCATGGCTGCTTGGAGAAGGACCCCCACGTCCTGGCTCGGCTGTGGGGTGGCGCTGCTCACCTCTGCGCTGGAATAGAGGCCCCTTCACTGGACCAGACGGGGCCAAAGACAAGAACCCTGTCCCTTCCTCCAGGCCCTTGGCAGCCCCCCGCCTGGGTGGACGGATCTGCTAGGACCCGGGGAGCCAACAAGACCTGTCCAGACCAGGAGACGGACCTCTGCCTCCTTGAGGTTCAAACCCAGGTTTAAAAGGATTTAGAAAACAAAAAACCCAAACCAGGACGTGATGGGTCTGAGCAAGGTCCTCCGGGTCCTCCAAGGTGGCGGGGCTGGGGGACCTGGGTCTGGGCACAGGCCTGGTGCTCAGGGACTGCTCAGGGCTGGCCCACACTGGGGGCTGGCATGGGACCGGCCCTGGCCGTCCGTGTGCCTGTCGGCCTGGCCCATAGTGGGGACTGGACAGAGCCTCGCCGGCTGCCCTGGGCTGAGCGGTCCTCTTGTGTGTGTGTCCTGGGATTGAGTAACAGGTACGACGTTCCCCAAGGCCACGCGCGCCACTCTGCCTGTCAGGCCCCCCATGGAACTGAAGCACTCTGGGTACCCTACTGTCTGCCCTGAACCTCCTGGGGCCTCGGGGGGCCAGGAGACAATGGCAGTCACCACTGCCTGAGTGGGAAGGGGGCTTGGTGATAAGGCCCCATACCCCAAGGCCAGTAACAACAGTGACGATGGCGTCACCCACAGATGACACTGTCTGGTGCCTACCGTAGGCCTGGCACTATTTGCTCTCATTCATTTTATTTAAGGTACTGGGAGTTGAGCCACACCCCAGTGCCACCCCCCCTTTTACAATATTTTACTTAGAGACAGGGTGTCGCTAAGTTGCTGGGGCTGGACTCCTACTTGTGATCCTCCTGCCTCAGCCTCCCGAGTCCCTGGGATTACAGGCAAGTGCCACCGTGCCTGGTGCAACTGTTTTCTCTCATTTAAATCTGAACCACAACCCTCCAAGGCCAGGACTATGATTGTCCCCATTTTACAGAGAAGGAAACTGAGGCTCACAGAGGGCAAGCCACATTTCAGGATCAAAGAGGGGCCAGAACAGAACTCGAAGCCTGGTTCGCTTGCCTCTGGGGCCTTGTGACACACCACGCCACTAAGATCAACAGAATGTGTGTCCCCACCAGACAAGCCCACCATAGATGTGTTGAGGGCAGGCGGGGAGACGGGGCCTCCTAGCGCCTGAACCCGGGGAGTGGTCAAGACGGCTGACCCATCCTCACAGGGACTGATGTCACCCAGACACAGCTAAGGCGCTGCCCGGACTGGCAGATGTGCCTGACCGTCACCCAGGTGTAGCTCGGACGGCTGACTCCTGTGTTGGGACAGTCACACTCCAGACAGCAGGGATCACAGAGAAGTGTTTATTGATCATGGAGAGGGACACTCCCAGCTGGGGACCAGCCCGCGCTGGACGACGGCCATCCACGTCTTCACTGGGAGACAGGGAGGGCCCAGGAGGTGGCCGGGGCGAGCACCAGGGCGTCCTGGGATTGGAGAGGAAGAGTCAAGGCGGCGATTCACTTTTACCTCCCGCACTCCCCAGGTTGGGGCTGGTTTTGTCTCCATGAGGTGACTGCTGGCCCGGGGTGGGGGGTCAGGACCCTAACCCCCCAGAGGGGAACAGTTGTGTCGCACAGCTGTCTCCGCACAGGGGATGTGTCCTCGTGCAGTGAGTCTTGTAGGACCGCTGTCCCCAAGCCCTGCCTGCCACCAAAACTCTCCAAGAAGTTTTATAAAGTGTAGATTCCTGGCTGTGGACCCACTGGGGTCAGGCAGCTCGATTTATTTTTTATCTTTTGGTACCAGGGATTGAACCCAGGGACACTTAGCCACTGAGCCACATCCCCTGCCTTTTATTTATTTATTTATAAATATTTTTTTAGTTGTAGTTGGACACAATTTCTTGATTCATTTTTATGTGGTGCTGAGGATCAAACCCAGTGCCTCACACATGCCAGGTGAGCACTGTTCCCCTGAGCCCCAGCCCAGCCCCATCCCCAGCCCTTTTTATGTTTTATGTTGAGACAGGATCTAGCTAAGTTGCTTAGGGCCTCACTATGTTGCCCGGGTTGGCCTCAAACTTGTGATCCTCCTGCCTCAGCCTCCTGAGTTGCTGGGATTACAGGCGTGCACCACCACGCCTGGCATCCAAGATTTTATCATAACCATTCTT